TCTTCTTTTCTGCTCACCTTTCTCACTTTGGCTTTTATTTTTCACTTGAGAGAGCAGCTCTCAGGCTCACTGTTACCTTGTGGTTAAAGCAACAGACTGGGAGTCAGTACTCATGGGTCTGTCTATTGCTGCTGAATTGCTGTGTAACACTGAGCAGGTATCCCAAACTTCTCATTACCTCAGAATGCTTGCTGAAATGTGAGTAAAATAATTTTCATCTACTCCTTCACAGGGGTTTTTGACTTTTAATTCTTATCTTATATTTAGATTGAGGCAGTTCTTTTTTGTTCTGTGTTTGTACAGTGCCTTGCAAAACAGAGTTTTGGTCCTAACCACTATATCAATTAATGTATGAGAAAAAGTAAGATTAAACAATTTTTGGCTTAGGCCAGGTCTACACTCCACCCTGAAGGTTGGCTTAAGGAATCCAACTCCAGCTATGTAAATAATGTAGCTGGAGTCGACGTACCTTAAGCCAAGTTTGGTGCTATCTCCACAGTGGGAGGTCTATGGAAGAAATACTCCCTTTGACTTCCCTTACAACTCGTAAGGAGTACCCGTGCTGTTGTGGGTGTTCTCAGCCTTTGATTTAGTGGGTCTCTACTAGACCTGATAAATTGAACCATGGAAGATCAATCACCAGAGCATCAATCCTCCAGAAAGTGAAAACATGGCTTTAGTTATACCGTCACGTTGTATAGGAGCACCAGAGGTTTTGCCCTGTCATGGGTGAACTCGCACACGAAACAAAACTGATAAAGCTTGCTTTGTGCCACCCATCCCTCTTCTTCAGACCCCTTGGCTGGCCAAGGGAGTGGAACTATAGCTTAGAGTCACCTTTCACCTGTGTTGTGTGCTAAGCTGAGGACTGGGCCCATTACTTACAAAGTTGTTTGAGATCTTTAGATCACAAGTGCTAAACAAGTATATATTATCATTGTTTTAAAATGCATATAACAAATACAGGCTCATAATTGCCTGGATTGCTCTGTATTCTATTATGAAGCTTACTGAAGCCATGAAATCTATATATTAAAATGTCATAGGCTTGTGTGTGTAGCCAAGATAATGTTCTCAAATAAATAGTAGATTTATTGTAGGTTCTTACAAAAGTGATTCATAACAGGTAGAAAAAGAGATTCTATATTAATATTGGTTTTACAATCAGAGCAATTATTTGAAACTATTTAATATTTTATATACTGGTGGAAGATGACATTAGAGAGAACTCCATGAAGATTTTTGGCCTTTGTATCCGAAATGAGAATGGATTCTATTGCTTCTTCTTGTGGACAAACTCACAAGTGACTCTGGAGTGTATAAGGGTATGTCTAGACTACAGGCTTTTGTCGACAGAAGTTTTGTCGACAGATACTGTCAACAAAACTTCTGTCGACAAAGAGCGTCTACACTACATTCAGTTCTGTCGACAAAGCAAGCTGCTTTGTCGACATGGTAGTGTAGATGCAAAGGATAGTTTACATGCAATAACACCTTCTGTCGACAGAAACTCTGTCGACAGAAGGTGTTATGCCTCGTAAAATGAGGTTTACCAGCGTCAACAAAACTGCTGAGTTCTGTCGACGTTATGTCGACAGAACTCAGCGGTAGTGTAGATGCAGGTATAGTTTTGTCGACAAAAGTCCACTTTTGTCGACAAAACTCTGTAGTCTAGACACACCCTAAGTGTGTGAGACTCTGTGACGTTACACTTGTGGAGTCTTCCCCAGGTTACTCCATCAGGAGCAGGATTTGCCCCACCACTGAACTGATTCTGGGTTCATAAATGCCGCAGACTTGAGACCCTTGCATGATGAAGGCCCATACTTCTCATTTGACATCATAATCATTGCCATGGCAACCTAGTTGTGATCTCATTACCAGAAAGTTACAAATCAGACTCACTGGTATGCTCCTGTTTTGTGCCATTCTGCTGATGCAAACATCCTTAAGTGGACAGGTCAGTTCTGACAGGTTCCCAACTGATTTGCATCCTCCCAGCTACACAAAGCAGGCAGAGTTTATTGGTGAATTTGTCTCTATGATGTCAAGTGGGAAAGGGGCTATCAGTGAGGCAGCTTATGTCACCAGTCTCAGCTATCTTCATAAAGAGCAAAGATTCCAAGAAAGAACAATCCTGGTGGCATATACTTTCACTTTCACCAGGCATCCTGGATGGGAGGCTGTGGGCCACACAATACTCATCCATGGCAGCTGCATCCCACAAAGGAGGTCTTGGGGCCTTCTACCAGTACTAGTAAACACATTCCTTTTCCTCATATTTGTCCTGACTCCTTCCGAACCTTCTCAACAAAACCATCTGGTAGAATAAACGGTCTCTTGCACCTTTTAAGAGACTATGGGCCTAGTGCTATAGTGCTTTGCACCATGTTGTTCTTTACACCTGTGCTGCCATAAGAACTGGGTAGCATCTGAGACCCACTTTTGGCCTCCCTTTGCATAGTGCTACATGACTACACAAGGTGCATGGCAGAGGGGACGTTGACCCTTTGCAACTTGTTTTCCAACTAGCTGTAGCTGTTTCTGAGAATGTTGCTCTATTTGGTGTAAGAACACCAACTCAAACAGTAGTTCTTAGCTGAGTAATATTGTATAAATAGATCTCTTCCAGCTCAATGTAAGCACCATTGTGCTATTGCACAGCAAAACCAGTTGAGTAGGTTAGAAACAAAGATGTTGCTTTCATCCTAATGATGAACAATTGAGAGAAAAACAGAAAGTATCTGAAATACTGCTCACAGAATATGAAGTGTTTTAAAGTTGTCTACGAGAAATCAGAATGTCTTCTTTAAGTGTCGAGCTGTTATAAAAGATGACCTTTTACATAATACTGCAGAAGCTGCTAAAGCTAAATTATTCCATTACTCAGTGCCACTCTTTATTTACAAGGAGCTAAAAAATTCACTGAATCCAATGAAAAATATATTAAAACGCACTTTTTTTTAGAAAGGGATGCTTCAGTGTTCATATTATCATACCACATTGGTGTTGGGTTATTTTTCTGTTGCTTAATTGTGAATTTTCTACACTGGAGTTCAACATTAACAAGCCTTTACCTATGAAATGTTCCATTTTTATCCATAGTTTTCTGTTCTTTATAAATGACCTCAAATTTCTTAGGAAACCCTCTCCAGCCACATAATAGTGTATGCAACATTACAAGTGGTAGAAGAGATTAGGGACACAGCTGATAAAGCCTAGCAGCCAATCACCATCAGCTACTGCCACAATATTATTTCTGAAGCCTAAGACATCCCTCTTCCTGAGCTCGGATTGAACGTCCAAGGCATGCCTTAAAAACAACTGATTCCTTTGAGGGAAAGTAAGGTTGAGGTGTTTCTTTTGCAGGAACACAGTTTCCATACTGTGTACCACAGCTAAAGAACTATTCACAGGGTTTTCTGCTCACCAGCCTGACAGCTTTTTTTCTTTCTTCCTTTGTATTTATTTTCAAGTGTACATTGCACAGCCATTAGTATTGAAATACAGGTTGGACCTCCCTTGTCCGGCACCCTTGGGACCTGAGTGGTCCCAAACAACGGAATTTTCCGGATGAGGGGAGGTTAAAGCTCCTTATCCAGCTGTAGGCTCTGCTTCCAGGTGGGGCTGTTCTTCCTGCCACCTGCCGCTGCCTACAGCCCCCCACTGTGCCAGGCCTTGCCGGGACTCCGTTCCCACCACTGCACCAGCCCCAAACAGGGGCTGGCCCTGCTGCCTCCAGCCTCAGCAGGGGCTGTACTCCATCCCCCACAGTGCCAACCTTGGCTGCATGCCCAGCTGACTCCAGCCCTGGCCAGGGCTGAACTCCCTACCTCCAACCCTGGCTGGGACTGTGCTCCTGCACTGTGCCAGCCCTGACTGAAGTTGTGCTTCCCACTGCACAAGCCTGGCTGGGGCTATGCTTTCCACCACGCCACCCCACTAGGGCTGGGCTCCCCTCCGCCCGCCCAGCCTGAGCTGTGCTTCTGAACCTGGCTAGGCAGGGCTCTCTGATCCAACAATATTTGTGCTCATGCTGGACCACGGATGTTGCCGGACCAGAGAGTCCTGGATTTTAGAGTATCAACCTGTATTCTTGACTGAAATAGCTGAATTTTACCCTGCTCTGATTGTTTCCTCCTGGACTTGGGAAGCAGAGAAGAAGCACTCAACCTTTCCTGGGTAAAATTCCATCCCAGTTCCATGCATTTATAGTTAACTGGAAGACCTATCCAGCACTGCTCGGGTCTAGTGCAGGCCTGAGGTAAGGGGTGCCCGTGCTTCCCCTGGCAGCTTCTCTCTGAAGCTTGTTCAGGGCAAGGAGCATGGTGGGATGGGGGGGCTGAGGTGTAAGCTTTATCCTGGGGCATGCCAGGGGTGGTGGAGGGCCACATAGGCCACCTGTCAGATTCTCTCCAGAGCCAGCTCATGGTGGTAGAGGAGAGCATCAGCTTCTCCCCAGGACCAGTACAGGGGAAGTGGGGACCACTCAGCACAATCACCAGCTTCTCCCTAGGGTCAGCTCAGAGTAGTGGGGGCCATGCAGCACTATCACCAAGGTGTGGCTCCAGGTGACAGGGGCTGTGCAGTGGCCAAAGGCTGCTCTGCAGGGCAGGCTGTGGCTGCCAGGGACAGGCTGCTGGCCAGCAGTTGCTCTGTGAGGCTGGGACACTTGCTGCCCTCTTATGGTCATTCAAAAATATAACTGTCCCCATTATCAAAGCCCTCACTTTCTGTTTGATGCAAAACAATTGTATTCTGGGCATATTCCACTGTCCTGGCACAGCCAAAGACTGACCTTGCTTTAAGTTATGGTAAGAGGAAGCTACATACAAAATTTGTCCTAGCTCTTACCATATGGAAGCGTTCTTGAACAAACGGACTGACAGATGAATGGACAGAAAGATAGAGAAACAGATGCACATTTCTAAATCATATTGTAATATTAGCAATCCCTCCCTTGGCTGCTGCGCTGATGGTGCCATTTTGTTTCTTTGCAGGTGAGCCAGAGAGCGTTAATGTCTATGAATTCCCAGCCTATTTGTGGATGCAGGTACTGCTTACTGTGATTAAGGATGGCAGAATTGGTTGTTGGCTGGGAGTATGATTTTTCCCTCTAAAAATATTTTAAAACATGTCTAATTAAAAATGGATGATGCATGGGCATTTTAAAGCAAAACTTAAAAGAAAAAAGCTGGAGGTTTAATTTTCCATCCATGTATTATTGATTATAATGGCTGGACACTATGCCTGTTGCATAGTCTTTTCTGGTCATCGCATTCACAAACTCTACACAACCATTTTCAGTTAGAACATTGAGTTAGGGAGAATGGTGACTCTCCCTTCCCTCCTCTCC